GAAATAAAATTATGAGAACCTTTATAATCCTACCCTTCACGGTATTTGTGGTGGCACAGCATTGTCAGATACCTCTAGGAAGAKATATATACCCCCCCACAGCTCACTACCACTAAACTAGCCCATTGGGACTGCTCTCCTCCAGGGCAATTTATTGCCCACATTGTGATGCTTCAATTATTTCTTCATTCAAGTAATGCTGTAATTGAGATTTTAAGTGCTAGCTTCCTGTGAAAGCCACCTGGGAAAAATGCAGAAGTGTTTTCTACCTAGGAATAAATACGTGAAGTCAATCTCAGTTGGATATAATGATTTTCCACTGGGAAAGGTGATAGGCAGGTTTCTTCTTTGCCAGTTCTGATAGGAGAAATTATTAGAATTAAAACAAAATAAAAAAAAAAAGCATGGGAGCTTCATGGATCAAAATTTTGATGAGTTCTCACTGCCCTGTGTGAGAACACTCCATGGTGGGAATGATTTGCCAGTTGCACTGGAGGTTCATTCACTAGACATTTGGTATCTTAAGGGCTTTTCTGACTCTACGCTTTGTGTCACAGTGTCACAAATAAACAGGAGCGATCCAGCTGCCTTTTATGTCTTGGCCACATGTTAAATCAGTGATGAAATAGATCAGAAGCACTTCCCTGGAAAATGCCCTTCACTTTAGAAAAGTAGCCTTGATGGAGGCACACACAAGGAAGAAAAATCATGTTCTATTGTACTTTTTGCCAAAAATGAAATGATTCTGGAAAATCTGGAAAAACGTGAGCTCAGCAGGGGCGAGAGCTGCTCTCTGAGCATCTCCAGCTCAACACCAGTACCAAAGGGAGCAGCACAATTTCAGATACACTCACATCACTGCAGTGGTTTGTTCATTACAAAAAAAAAAAAAAAAAAAAAAAAANAATTTCACTCACAACCTCAAAGCCAGTAACTTTATCCTGAGCAGCACTTGGTTAGGAGACACAAAAATATGAAATACTGGGTAGATAACCAAGTCAGGTGTGACCAGCTTGCAGGCATTCTGTGGAAAGAAAGCATGTTTGAGCTATGAATTGTAATAAACACACTATTTGCTCGGGATTACGGGGAGTTTCTCCGCTCTATTCACATGTTAATCCTTGCAAGGCTTTTAACTCTCCACATTGCTTGTTTGGCTTTACTTGCAGGAAATAGCATCTTTCATAGACCAGAGAGTCAAGGAGATAGGCTAATAAAATTACCAAGTGACATCCACTGAACATGTTGACCCGAGGAGCTATTCATTAGCAAAAGGCTAGTAGACCTAAAAATAATTCTGTTTGCATGCAGGACCGTTCATGCTAGCAATTAGTACACAAAAAATGTAACTATTCAAACTAGTAACAGCACACTCAACCTAAATAAGAGCAGAAAGCAGGCCAGCCCCATGTGCTTGAAAACATCTCAGGAAACCACAGGATCCTTTTGTTATTGTACTCAGCCAAGAACCCATGTGTTATGAGAGAGCAATTGTCAAGAGCAGAAACATATGCAATCGTTCAACATTTATTAAATGTAATAGTGATAAAATGGCCTTTCCAAAGGATCTCATCTGGCTTTCTGCTCATCCATAAAAACACTAAAACAAAACGCCCATTTCCTCCTTTCAACTTAATTGTGGTTCTCAGCTCTGAGGAGAATGAGAGACGACATTTATATCTTCACTGCAAGGCAGGTGAATGTTAATGACACAGAACACAATTTTGGCAATTCCTCCATAAATCATAATACATCTTGAATTCTGTAATAATTCAATAACTTCTAGAAAAGATATGCACAGGATATACGGTTTCTACTACATTTCCACAGTGATTTCTGTATAGCTTTTCTCCAGCACCTCTGGGTGCAGACAGGTCTAGCAAAACAGAAGGGATTGTGTGTCATGGGTACGGTAGGAATCACTGCATTCCCCCAATCCATAAACCTTTCCCAGCTGCACTCAAGACCTCAAAGGGCTCTTCACTTTTACACTTATTTCTCACTATAGCAAAGGAAATCTGAGTTTCCYAAAACTCAGGTTCTGTGAGAGGTGGATGAGCGGCAGTGCTGGGTTAACCTTTCCTCCCTCACCATCGGGGCTCCCACTGCTCCATCCTTGGATGTATCCGTGCCCTCATGAACACTCTGCTCCCCACACAGGGCTCAGCTCGCGGGTAGGCTCCTAACTTAGTGATGAACAAAGCAAATTCTGCCCGCTCCGTTTTCACACAGGCTCTTTGGCTGTGGCAACAAGGGGAATTGCTGCTTCAGAAACAGCAGCTGCGTGTGCTGGAGGCCACACTCGGCTGCGAGAGGACCCAGGGGCTGCTCAATTGCTYCTGTCCCTCTCCAGCAACACGAGCCTTGAGCTCTTCCTGAGCTCACCCAAAGGCCGAGCTCTGCTTCAACACTCTCCTTCCAACCCCAAAGAGCACGTGAGAGGAGTYGTTTTGTGCAATACCACCCATACGCGGACATAACTGCTTTGTCTTTCTTGGTGAAGCCCATGTGAAACTCACCTCTGTTTAACCCACCTTGATAGTCCTGGCCAAAGAAGAGGAGTGGGGACAGCTGCACCATGCTCGGTGCCCACAGCACCACTTGGAGATCCCTGGGCATAAACACGCAGCTCCTCCATCCGTCACCTCAGCGGCCACTGGGATAACAGTGCAAACCAAGGAGTTAAAAAAACAGACATTTCCTCAAATGACAAAGCAGTGATTGCTATTCTACAGGCATCCTTAAAAGAGAGTTAGAGACAGTTTTGGCAAGCACTGCTTAAAGTGAAAAAAAAAAAGAAAAAAAAAGCTGAGCCATCAAACAAGAAAAACTACATTTCCATAGGAAAAAAAAAACACAGTTGCATTGTAAATCACAGTAATTTAAAAAGTGCACTGATGCATTGATTTGAGGAAGAAAAGCCTACTAAAAAGAAAAACATTGTTTGTCAACAAATATGTACACCAAGGCACGAGCCGCTGGATGAATTCTTCATGATAAGCCATTGAATTCATTGTACATAATTATGGAATAAGTGCACAGCTCTATCTTTCAAGTGGTTAATAACATACAGTGAACAAATCCAGGTATGCCTTTAACAATGTGCTTTCACATGAGCTAATAAATGATCAAAATACCTCAGAAATGTGACTTTAAAATAATTTCTGCTAGGCACTGAGGACTGTAAATCAGCACCGCAATGGAGAGCAGACCGTGTTTGGGCTCTGGATCTCAGGTACCTCTGCCCAGGGCCTTGCTGGGTGCTTCTGAGGACTGACCTGTCTCATGGACAAGTTGCAGCCTCAAGTCTGTTACTGCTCCTCTTACAAACAAGGAAAAACTTCCTTCCTGGCAAGCAGTTCCCCAGCTGGTTCCTGCAGTCATCCCTGGCACTGCATGGAAGTAAATAAGCTTGCATTAAAAGTAAATACTGGTGACAAGAGTGCCACAAGCACAAGTCCCATCTAAGCCAAAGAGCCCAAGTTACCGTCAGGATTAATCCACTCCATCATCTTACTCCTCACTGGCTTCATCAGCAGCACTTGATGGGCTTTATCTAACAGAAACACCTAGTAACAGCGGAAAACTGTTGTAATTTCTTCTTGGCCTGATTTTATTGATTGATTTGTTTATTGATTGACAGAGTCGGCCAGTTGGCCAAGATGCTCATCCCAACCTTGATGAAACCACAGGATTCAACGCTAAAAAGTCCCAAGGACTGGAAGGGAGCCACCACGCTGGCTCAGGTGGAAAGGTCCATGGTAAGAAAACTCCTGGTAATATCAGAAAGAATTAAAACATTTATTGGGCATAAATATATTACATGTACACTACAGATACAGTTAAGTCTTACATACATAGTGTAGTATTTGCAAAATCTATACATTAAAACTGGTATGGCAGTTTTAATACAATGCATATGAAATAGTCTAAAATTTACAATACAAGAAAACTTATGATTATTTTTTTCTCTTAAAGTTGAAAAGCTTGGAATGTATGTTCCCATAGTGAGGTAAAAACATTTTTTTTTTTTCAATTTAAAGAACTGTGCAAGAATAAAGTTCATACACATTCAGTTAGGGCACTTTTCAATTGTGACACTGAATACTGAACTACTGTAGCCAACAAACAGAGTTAGAAAACAATGTATCGAGTTCATAAAGAAAAAGACAGGAAAAAATCTCCTTAAGTTTTTAAATATTTAGTGTTTCACTCTACTTTTTATTTGTTCATAATTTCTTTGAGAGAAAGGAGTTCTCAGGTTTGATTCGATGCCTGATACTACTGGATCAAAAGACAAAGATATCTGGGGGAAGACAAGACATCCCTAAAGGGCAGTATTCAGTGGCAGTGGGAATCAAAGCAGGAATGGTTTAAGATCTGTGATGCTTTTTTTTCCTTTTTCAATAAATGAATCACAATCAAATCGCTACGGCAGAATACACCATCTAAATTAATGTCAAATTAACTGGGTCTGTCCCAGCTCCTCTTGGCTGCATTCACTGCCAGCCGCAGAGCTGGACTCGGCTTTTGCATTAGCATGATAAGGAGACACCAAACAAATTAGCAACGACAGAAATGCTCAGGGTATAACCAACAAATTGCTTTTCTTCCACTTCTGCTTGCTGTGTGTAGTATCTTTTTTTTTTTTTTTTAATTCCAAACATTCAGAAGTGACCAAATTATGTAAAGTTTTTTTTTTTTTACATTTTTTAAWTTTTTTTAAAAAGGTGTCAAGCTTGGACTTCATAGCAGCACTGCTGAAAAAATACTCAAAAAATAAAAAAGGGAATTCTTCAAATTTCTGGGTTTCCCAAACTAGCTGTCTTCTCACTGTTTTAAAAAATACAATCTTTCCCCCTCCATTGAAAACAGCTGTATATGCTTTGCTCACAAAATACAGATGCAAGGTCACAAAGTTTCACATCACAAATAAATTTAAATAAGATGTAATAAATTTGACAGGCTGTGACTTTGGCAAAAAATAACAAAAAAAAATCCAAAAAATATATATATATTTAGCTCAACGCCATTAGTTTGCAAGGCTAAATTAAACTAATTATAGTCAATAACAAAATACAGAACATTTCTAATATTTGCTACATCTAGAGAGGCACACAGAATAATTCATTGATCTCAGCACTTTTGTTTTCCAGAGATGATTATGTTTTTGGATACATGTAAACGTTTGAATCACTGATAATGGTTTTTTTGGCATTTAATGTACTAGATGCTCCCATCTTCAAAAACACAAGAAAATGTAAGAAGATTAATAATACTAGGAATGCTGCCAGGTAAAAAGTTGACCTAAAGTACAATGGTATAAAACAGACAAAATATAACATGCTACAGGGAGGGTAAGGAGGGGATTAGTACATAAGTACACTTTTTATTTTATTTTTTATTTTTTACAATAAATAAAAGATTGCACTGTAATTGGTATTTAAAGTACTGTATGCAGTATATAGTATAAATAAACCTAAAACAAAAATAATGTTGTTTTTCCCCATTACTTTGGTTAAGGGAATATTATGCTAGTACAGGACACTGAATCTTAGACAAATGGAGACAGAGCACAAAAGAGCTAGGACAAAAGCAAAAACGAGTAGCAAAAATATACAAAAACAGTAGGCAGGGAAAAACACTGTGTCTGTTGCACCCTTTTGGAATCTATTTGCACCTCCAGCTCATTAAAGTCCCTGAGGTACTTGCACAATGTTGACTTAATATAAATAGCCCAATGAGTCACGAGTTAAAAATCTAATATCTTGATGGACTGAAACATGTGTCTGGGAAGGGGCACTGAGGAGGCGGGTGGGAATAGGGCCTCTAGAGCAAGGACTACACATCTGCACGATYTGCAAATCTGCTGAGATTTGCAATGTACCAAGTATTTTATTTACCCCTGTGGTAAGAATTCGTAGCCACCCATTAAAGGTACTTAGAGCAAACAGATTTCTGATACCTCCAAGAGCTATATAAAATAGATACCCCTCCAAAAAAAATAATAAAAAAATCAACTGACAGTAAAGTTTGCTTGTGTTAAGTGTAAATCTTACCTAATTCAGTAGAGGCAGTAGGCTGTCACCAGCTCTAATCATATAAATCAGGCTGCACATAATAGAATAATATCTAGTAGTAGATTAAGGATAGTTATATACAGTGACAAACAAACAAGTTAAAGCAGCTTTTAAATAGCTGAACATGGGAATAACTAACTATTGCACAATGCCCTCTTACTTAAAATTACTGCTAGGAAATCAAAATGGTAAAAAAAATCTATAATGCTTCATAATTTATATGCAGTTTGGTTATTTAATTTCTTATACAGGCAGTTCATAGTGTTGTAAAAGTGTCAGATAAAAACAAGTGTTTTTAGGCTGCAGGATAATCTGATTTAAACACACTAAAATGTTAAAATAACAGTGTACATTTCATCTTGAAAAACGGGGCAAAAGTATTGTAGTGAATAAATCATAGGCAACATTGATAATACTGTTCAATGAAAACCTGGTACTGTTGACTAACACTGTATTCTAGTCTTACCACTATACACACCTGTGACTAATGTTTAAGAGAAAAAGAAGAGAAAAAAAGTGATTGATGATTAAAATTTCCTAAATAGTAACATAACAGACTGTAAAGACTTCAGTGAAAAATAAAAAATAGAAAAATAACAACCTAAAAAAAATCAAAAGAAAAAAACAATGAAAAGGCAAATTGGTGACAATTTTCAAACTGTGAAGGAAAAAAAAGTCTTGCTTTTGGTATCTGGTTTGCTTATTTCTCCAGTTTGACCGCTTCCTAGTTTTGAATTTCAAAAAGGTGCATCAAAACACTGATTTATCTTTCTTCAAGCTAGAACTGTAAAAACAAGAGAAGTATATAAAATGTATGGTAGAACAAAAGGCTTTCAAAAAGGAATATCTGAATAAATGTGTGGATTATAATGCGTAGCATTAGTTAAATTCGTATCTCAAACTTCCATTGAATTCTCTACTTCATAAAGAAGTATTGTAATATACAGGCAAAGATAATCGACAGACTTGCAAAGCCAAGCACAATGAGGGCTGCAAACTGTTCATCAGTAGGAATCAAGCTCTTGATCTTGGGGTCATCGAGGCTCCCCACTTCTCCTGCAAGCATGAGCTCGCTTGGCTGGAGCACGAAGGCAACGGAGGGGCTGAAAGGGCCGCTAAGCTCCTGTGAGGTATCCGAGCACCGGCGACACGCGCACACACGGAATCGATAGTCTGTGTTGACTTGAAGGCCTGAGATTTGGAACGTCGTCTCATCCCCCTTGTACACCTGCAAAACCAAGGAGCAAACGCTGTCAAATACAGAAAGTGCCACCATGGAACCCCCTCCTTTTCTCTGTAACGTCAGAACTTTCTAAACTAGTCTTAGATGAACCTTCTTTGAGCACAAAATGTGTGCAAATACTCCCTTCTGCACAGAGGTACAAGAAGCTGAGACCTGAAAGGAGTCTGCGTTTCACAGACTAGTACAAGTAGGAATAACATCTAGAAATAGTGCTATTTTGCAAATATTTGAGATAGAAATTTAAGTTRGGTTAAATATATATCCTGTGAGGAAACATTTCTGTAGGCCCCAAGGGAAGGAGTTGACTACGTCAACGAAGGTTTCAGAAAAATACCATGGTATAGAGGGCAGCATGAGAGATGTCCAACTGCGACAGCTCTCAAACCCGAGCGTTCACCAGACTAGATAGACACAAAGACAGACAACAYAACTGAAGCATAAAAAGCTCCTCTTGGCTACACTGTATGTATTTCTTTAACACTCTAAATCATGTACCTATGCTAACAAAATGTAGGTAATGTATGACTCAAGAGAGCATGAGTCATAATATGAGAAAGAAGAGAAAACTGAGTATCTAAGATACAGTTTTGCACTTTAGAAGGAAAACAAAATAAACCACATTGGAACCGTTTATGAACTATGAAAACAAATAACCAGTCAACGATTTATGTAACAGAGTTTTTGAAACTGGTATTTTATGAAATGAAAAATAATGTGTCATAAAGTGTTTGTATCTCCTGGAAAAAGAAAGAAAAAGTCTTATTTCTTTTCTCATTTAAATGGTTTTGTTTTCTCCCCATCATGGGGATAGGAAGTGATACTAGCAGCTCTACTCTCTTGAAGGTCTTGGAAAAGGGTAACGAGGAAAATTACAACTCAAAGGGGATTTAATTTATCTTGCTATATTTCTTATTCTAAAGCAAATAAAATAATCAAAGTAAGAGACATGCTCAGTTAAACACCACTTAAATAATCCAACTGTCTTGTCCATGCCTACCCTTGAGACTTACTCCTCTGTTAAGAAGCCAGTTTCTGATTGCTTGAGAAGATCTGGGACAAAAGACTAAAGTTTTCATTTCATTCTTTTTTTCCCTCTCTCCTTTTAAACTTATTTAAGTCTTTGACAACTTTTTCAAAACAAGATTGGGTGATGGTTATTTTAAGTTTCCAGACCAGCCAGAATTCAGCTAACTAGACTTATGTTTCTTGGCCTCAAGACATAAATCCAGAAGCAACATATAAACGAAATTATGTTACCTTCAGTAAATATGTTGAGCACTCATAGGAAGCTCACTGGAACTCAAGTTACAGAGAAATGCATCACACTCCTACTAGAAGTATCTCTGTTTAACTATAGCTGTGCCCCTTGTCTGTCCTGCAATCCTCGTCTGTCTGTCCAAAGATAATGAGAACTGAGGACCGAGGCTAAAGCAACAGATCACATGAAASAGAAAATTAGGAGGGCTGCAGCTGTCTGTAGTAATAATGTGAAGGTTCAAAGACCTATTTGTGAAGTGTACCTCGACTCTAACTTCAATACCAAGAGAATCACTGCCACTCTTTCCAGACTGTAGTTCTCATGCTGGTGCCCACTTGTGTGGTCAACTGTCTTCCTCTTCCTCCGTCCTCTAAGCTACATCTTTTAGGCAGTTWATACTTCAGTATACTCACAAGTACGAACCATTATGCAATGAAAAAGCATAAATTTGGGGTGTAAATGTATTTTTAATGAATAATTAAAAAGGTACATGTTTCCACATGCTAAACTCTACTTTGAGGATTATCTAATTTCCATTTCTTTAGACTGTGAGACATCACAACTCCAAGAATTTATCCCTGCAATGCAGCTGTAGGCAAGGTACGTCTTGTAGGGGCTGTTGTAATTATTCATTTAATTTTCAAAATGTATCAAAGGAACTCTAGATGTCTTTGCCTAAGAAAATTCTTTGCAGCCAACATCATTATTTCTAAGACAAATCAGAAAGCCAATAAAATCCATATMATGAAATTTAATAATAAATTTACAATCTAAATTTCATAAATTACATTTACCAAACACTGAGGATGGGCCATAGTCAGGTTGTCTTTGTATTATAAAACCCATCCAGTTAACTGAATTACTTTTTTCTTCTGTCGGGGTGGTGAATACCAGCATAACTGGAGGCTAAGCTTTGCTAATCAAAGACTTGTATGTTCAATATAGTCTAACAAACACAGATGACCCAGTTCACTTGAGCAAGCCAGGCAATAGCACTTCAAAAGAGGCCAGACAGTCTGGTGAGAGAAGAGTGCATCTTTAAAGCAAGTTTGAAAAACAGTCCAATGTCCACATTAATTCACTGCTCAACGACAACAAAAGACAAAACATTTCTTGTACTAGAGCTAGGAAGGTGGTGCATAGTGTTCCAGTTTCAAGGACTGCATGAATATTTAGCACTAATGGAGCTATGTCCTATCTCAACGACAGGCAACAATCCTCGTGCTCAGTTATCATTCCCCTTTGAAAGTAGCCACTGCATCAAGCACACTGGCTGCAGCAGGATCCAGGAGAGCCTCTTTTCCAGGGGGAAAGGTGCTGAACTGAATTGGTCTCCAGGACCATAAGGAGCCAGCAGAGCTCGTATAATCACTAGAYACCATTAGTATAAAGACAGATGCTTGGTTGTGAATGTAGTTATGTTTGGTGAATGGGCTTCACACACAAAACGGAGAAAAAAATTAATTTGACAATTATCTCAAGGGTCTCCAAATTAGCTAAACAAATGTTAAACCAAATACCATTTTATAAAGCATTTTTTTCAGATGTAGCACATGATGCTTCAGCAGCAAATAAGTCAGAGTACAGGGGGTATCTAATTTATGAATTTCAGATCCTAGAAACCACTCTTTTGTTTTAGGCACCTGAGAATGTAATAAAAACACAATGAGATTTTTTTGCTGGCTCCTTCAGTGAAAGCAATCAGCACCAGTCACACACTGTTGCTAAAGCCTCTTATGGCATCTGATATTATCGATCAAACTAGACAGCTGAGAGAAGGCCTGTAGGCAAGTGTTCCTCGGCTTCATAGACATCATTAAAGAATTCAAAAAAAAATCCTCAATCTTTTCAAAATAACAAAAGTGAGAGCAACAATTGTTCTATAGGCAGCTCACTGGAAAGATAACCTCACCTGGCTGTTGCACTCCATCGCAATATGGAATTTCCATCCATATGGAAATATGGAATTAATCGCGCTTAATAATTAATAAAAGCCTTATTGTTTAAGCAGARCAAGTAAGAGTCACTGAAATAAACTTCCAGGCAGTGGGCTGCACTCAATGASCCTAATAAAAATCATGTATTGGTTCTCTCTCATTACAGAACACTGGCACCAGGAGGCAGAGGAAATACTCAGTAAGCTGCACTAGCAGTATCATGCTTATATACAGCATTGAGTTACATCGTACACGGGTGTGCCTCTAAAACAAGTGCCTCTGATTTGAGGTAAAAAAAGTGAAAAATGGCCACTTATTTCCATTTGTACCCTGCTCTGCCAGAATACAGTGGAAACACTGAGGCAGAGTACTTTATGCTTAGTCTGCACAAATTGCCTAGATGGTTTATGCTGATTTATGCTTTGTGATTTAAAAATTGTCCACATATTGGAACCAAGTCTCCCAASTGCACAGCTCAGACATAGGCTGCATGGTCAAGCCCATGGAGCTCGATACTGCTCCACTTCGTGTGCACAACAGGTTCTCTGAACAGTCACGCAATTCAGCTGCGTTTTGAAAAGTCCAACATAAACTATCATTAAAAAGTTCTAACTCAGTTTTCATGATGACAGGATTTTTCACTTCCAAGCGTTTATGCCAAAGAAAGAATTCAAATCTATTGTGCATCACATACAACATTCTTTATGAAGAAAAAACACCAGTTTTAAAGACCTAACACAGTATGAATGCTAATCCTGTATCATAAAAGGCACACTGAAATCTTCATAATATGCTTGCCAGAATAGCAATAACTTTGTAAAATTTCTTGGGAGAGAAACATAGGCATTTATCAAACATTCTCCTTTCTATGGTACAAAAGCAAGATTCACATGCTTCATCATCCTGATTTCTACTTTCCACAGATGTTATTGCCTTACAATCTAATTGGCTTGTTCTACTCCAGGAGATAAGTTTTCCTAGTTAAATTTCTTAAGACCCTGCCATGAAATAGTTGCCTTTAAATTGCCTCAAAGAGAATCATCTGGATTCCAGATTTGGAGGATTACAGATTTGTTGCCRAGAAACAGCTTTACACCTGCATTAGTTGAAAATTTTCCATTTTTCAATATGTGGAATTTTTCAAAACTGGATTTTTGCTCTCTATGTACATATATGTCCAGGTACCTTGACTAGTACCTCGATAATGACATTCCCTAATGACACACTTGATCTAAGYGAAAACTAAGCAGAAGGCAAAACACAAATATTCACCCTACTGAACACATCCTACTGGCTGTGAGAGCAGCTCTGTTCACTGTTCAGAGAAGGACCTGTCCTCAGCAAGGTTTCCTCCTTCCTTCTACTACYGAGCTTCACCTTTCCACTAAGTGTCACTTATTTTTCAGCCAGGGTCCAATCCCAATAGATGCAGACTCAATAGGCTACGTTGCTCCARCACAAGTCGTCCTGTCTCACAGGTAGAAGCCACACTGGGAGCACAGCTGGACTACTGTCCTAGGATGGCCACTGATGGCCACCACAACTCTTCTCACCATGGCTTGGGCTGTTGCAAAGGAAATCCCAGAGGAGGAGAACCAAAATTGCCTTCAAGAGACTGCATGGAATTGCACTTAAAATACAATTAGCGTATCACTAAAAATTGCTTTACAGTTATCTATTGCTAAATATCAGACAGTGATTAAAGACACATCCCGATGCCACAGMACACAATAAAGCAAAATGCATTCACCAGAAAAAGCTTATCTGAGCTAAAACCATGCACAAGTCTACTGCAGCTCAGCTATACGTACAGTAATTTGGCCATGTGCCTAAGGGCCTACAAAACTCCTACTTTGTGATGAAGAAAAATTATAGATCAATGAAATCAATTTCTGAGATAGAAAATAATTCACCCTCTTTTCTATGGGTTACTATTAGCCCGTCCAGCTAGTGACATGTGCAGCGTCTGCTTTGAGAGCCATTGCCAGGAGCCTTCCTGAGCGAGTCCCTTGTGAAAACACAAGCGAAATTCCTCTCAGCAGCGACATGCTTCATGTGTATTTCTGAGAAATGAAAACCTTTCATGTGCAATCTTGAAGGTATCTTTTCATTTCCTTTATTGCTGGTCTTTCTCATATCATGGTTTCTCCATTACAGAGATCGTGTCCATCACCTACCTTAGGAGAACACGAAGCTGGGCCCAGTGCAAGATGCACACGAGGGCTGTATGTTTGGGCTGCTCTGTGAAGCAGGCAACAGAGCAATGGATCCAATTATCCACTTATCACCAATATTAACAGCTGAGCACAGTACACATGGCTCTTCTATTAACTACACCAGGGCCCTGAACGTTTCCTGACAAAAACACCTACGTTTMTATCTTTAACACCAACTTAACTGCTCTGTACTTATGTCCATGTTATTTCTCAAACTTCTTTAATTTGCAGGAACTGTCAAAAAAGGACTGAAGAGGAGCAAAGGCCCAGATGCAAAAAAAAAAGCACTGCTTTATTCCCATTTTAAGAATTTCATTTCCTATTCCCTATTTCATTTCCTATGTTCATTCTCTACTTTAGATTTGTCTGGAATCCACATGAGGGAGAAAAAAGGGCAGCGATAAAACGCATTGTAAATAAGACTTATACGTGATATATGATATAAAGCATTTAGCTATGAATTAGTTGCACTGTTTCAGCTGCTATGGGAACATGCCCACTTGTGATCTCTAATCAACACAAAAAATGAAAGACAGAGCAGCTTTCTTCATAAAATAAATATCTCATTTATTTCATGGTTCCACATTGCAAGAAAGTACACACAGCTCCTGTGGAGCAGCAGATGTACAGTAAACTTGCCCTGGGCAACAGATCCAAGCATCTAAATCCTGAACAGGAATGAAAAGGCTGAAGCAACCACTTTAAACATGTGTTTGAATGAAAACCTTGATAGAAGGTCTTGAGAGAGATCCTGGAAATTCAGAAACTGGTTTGGAGATTAGGAAGATAATCCATCCAGTTCAACATCTCATCTTCAAACAGTAATCAGTACCAGCCAGTACAGAAGAACAGCAAAAGGAGAAATGGTTGCAGAGCAAAATCTGACTTTCAAAAGGTTAGCTCAGTTATCAACAGTAAGCAAGCACAGAGTGGAAATCATTCCAATAAGATAAGGATGGGTCTACATCTATCAGGAGAGAAGCAACATATTAGAGTGCTTACTTTTGAYTCAGCCTTTCCCAAGACTCACCTCATGCACTAACACAGGGTGTAATCCAGTTCAGCAGAAAGAAAATGTAGCAAAGAGAGGGTTCAAAAATATTTTCATTTTACTATCTGTTTAGCAGTATTAAAACCAGATCATTTTCCTACCTGCTTATACTCAGATTCTCTTCCAACCAGTACCTGTAGGATGTAACCAACAGGATCTCCCTTCATGGGTGGGACCATTTCCCAGGTGATTTCACAGGCATTTCCCTCCAACTGGGTCACTCGAGGGGCTAAAACAGAAATAAAGGTGTTAGCATTTAATATAAAGACTCCATTGTGGTGACTTCCATTTATTACAGGACAGTCTTGTCTGATTAAGCATTTCAGGATTCTTGTTCCAAACCAGAGTAAACACTATGCATAGAAAAACAGCACTCAGTTTAGATCTGCTTAACATGAATCTAAGAACTTTATTGGAGAACATAGTTCAATTGCTTAGAACTAAAGTGTAGAGACTCTTATCCGTCAGCTGTCTAAACTGGGAAGAGGATGTGATAAAAACCTTGAACTTTAAAAATTCAATTGCAATGTTACACATTCTTATATCTTCCAACCAGAAGCCAACTCATAAATTTCACTTGCATTAATAAAAGCAGAAATTTCCTCAAGTTCTGAGCAAACCCCTGTAAATACCATTGAAAACAAGCACTAACGACAAATTTTTCATTCAAGAAAAAGATGGGAGAAGGGATGAAAGAAGTGAAACTAAATAATCTTTTGTATTAGAGCTGAAGCCCAGCTTGCGAACTAGAATCACAAGCAAAATTTTAAACATCTGCACTGGTATCTGATTTTGAGGCTTAAATTCAGACGAGCAGACTTGATTTTAGTGCATCTTTAAGCGAGGACACGTGCAGGGACACAAGCTTGTTAAAGGCAACACCGCTTTGCAACCCCAAGGAAAGGGCCGACGGACGGAGGCTGCAGGACAGGCGGCTGCTGCTGCTCCATACATTACAGGAGTTTTCCACTAATTCGCTGCCACCCGAGAGGAACGCATGAATTACACACAGACCCAACTGAAATCAATATCCGTTTACTCCTCCCTGCACACCTGCCTGTGTTGATGGGTAACAGCAGCCTTCACCGCAGCTGACAAGAGCATCCTCAGCCTTCCCTTCTCCTTCCAGACCCCTCCTGCCACGGGCAGATTTTTCTCCTACATTCCCAAAACGCTGCCATTAACAATAACACTATTTTAGGGTTGGAATCAGTAATCAAACCATTAGGGTACTATGTGGAAGAATAAACATGCGCTTATGATGCATGGAAGCCCGTGCAAAGTTTACACTGCTCTAAGCACTGCAGGGAAGCAACACAATTATTTTGTTGTCTGTCTCAACAGATCTCTTCTCCCCAAGGCGTCGCTTTCTCGTGGCAGTGATCGCTAATGCAGATTTTGTTGTGTCTATTTTTTCTCTTGGAGTTATCGGCCTGTCATGTACCCGTGGCCCCATTCCATACACGACCCAGGGTACCTTATATGACACACTATATCTTAACTGCTTGATATTTAGTCCGGAGCACGAGTCATATCTCACAGGCATGAAATGCACGAGCAGGAAAGGAGTTCAAAACAAAGCAAAAACCTAAATGAGATCTGACCGCACTAGAAGTGGATTTCCACTCAAAGAAAACAGGGATGCGAATACCGTGCAGGKTGGCATCCCTGTGCTAGCCTTGCACATTTAGTGCAGGTAAGAGAAGCAGCGAGGCCATGGTAACACCATAAACCCAGTGCTGGAGCAAATGCCAAGCCCCAGGCAAAATCCAAGGAACAAGGACGGTGGGATGCTCAGATGCACCAATTTTAGCTGTGTTCCCTCTACAAGCCTCCTCTGAGCGTGGTTCAGAGCAGCTAACTTCAAGGCTAGGGAAACCTGGCAGTATTTTCCCGTCCCTAAATCCTCCTGTCGTGAATGGTGCCACAAGCACCAAAATCATGATGAAAACTCTGACAAACTCGAACGGCTGCTATTTCCCACAGTGCCTGGAACTGTTTGACAAATGAGTGTAAAGCAGGAAAACAGGTGAGGGTGCTACCTGGTCTTAGCTCTTCTTATCTGACAGCCAGTTCAGCAAATTTGCTGACTTCCCAATAATTTTTCATTGAAGGACAAAAATTCTGCCCATTCTTAGGGCAGATTTTACACAAACTGAAAGAAGTTTTATGTTAAAACTCCATTTTATCTAGGTCTTTTTTGTGCTTCCAGTGGAAAACAAAATAAATGGGATAGCCTATTGTTTCACGTATATGAAACGCCAATTATTCTACACCAAATAAATAAAAAACTCAAAAAAGTGCTAAGTTGAATGTTATCTACACACTAAAGGCAAAACACAGCATTCCTAGTACTTAAATTGGTATGTACACATATATAGCACTATCATACTTATACCCCTTATTAAGTACTTCACTAATCCATAGTAATAGAGCAATCCCCTGGGAACTATTGTTAGCAGCAGTAATTTTAACACCTCCTGTAGAACAGGAGTGGTTTGTACAACATTTACGTCGTCCATCTGAGATTTTCTTCAGCGATAATTTAGCTGCCCACCATAAYGCAGTTTCACTACTCACAGCAAGAGGCAAGCACCAATTTCTTATGCACACTGTTCTATCCTTAGGTGTATCCTTAAAATCTTAATACATACTTATTTGTCATTATTTTAGTAACTATTAAGTATGTATTAAGAATGTATTAAGAATAATATAAGAATTATGTCATTATTTGTCATTATTTTAGTAACTATTAATGACATAATTCTTATATATATATAACATAAATACATAACATACAAAAATATACTGTCATCTACCTTTGATTGCAGGTGGGACTGACTTAGTTGTGCAGAAGGTGCAAACTTCTGAGAAAGGCCCTTCCCCGGCATCGTTGACGGCCTGTATTCGAAACGAGTAACAAGTGGATTCTGTCAGCCTTTGTATCTTGTACGTATGACTCGGTCCCCTGTAAATTGGAATAAACCTGGAAACAATGAAAATGAGAAAACAAGTTACACTGGAGTAGCAGGGACGTTTCTGGTGCTTATGTGCTGTGGATCAAGGCATCCATATCATGAAAACCACCAGAACATGTTTCGCAATGCTATTAGAATTAAGTATAAAAATAACATCAATACACAAACAGGGATTATTTATTGGAGAAATGAGGATTTCCTTGCATCTTTTGCAACTAAAATGTACCTTGCAAAATGAATTGTGTGGAAAACCTTCCATCAACACATTTCCTGCTACCAGGTAGTCAAAAGGGATTAACAGTGTTTTATTACAAATCACTGAGAATGCAGCTAGTTTAAGAATATTTATATATATTGCAGGTGGGAATATATATATATATGTATATATAAAATATATATATATACACATGCACACACATAAATAGATATATAAAATAGAACTYCAAGTCATTTTCTGCTTGACCTTACTATTGTGTATATCATGTTAGTGCCAGAGTAACCTTACATAAAACAGGACATTAATTTTTTWAAATAAATTATACATTAATTTCTAACCACTTCTCCTCTCCGAGTCGCAGTTCCTGCAGCCTCTGAGCAGAATGGGAATGAGGGTTAATAGGGAGCAAACCCTTGGCATCCGGCATCAGGCCATGTAGCCTCTGCTTGGGAACAAGTTCATGCTTGCTAGAGCCCCAGATTTGGAGACTACTCAATTCACCACGCAGGATGACATAGTTTCTGATGATTTAGAGCATCTCTTCAAATATATGAACTATTTTAGCTGATTCRAAACAAGCAGGAAGGCAGTAAGTGATTTGTTTTTGACCTCCATGTCTAGGTGCCAGCTCTGCCCTGGATAATGAGTCCTGAGCCCTTTGGCTTCGCACAAGATGTACAGGAAAACCAATTGGAGCAGCTCAGGGAAACTGGGGCTGCTGTTAGCTCTCCGGGTCAGAAATCAATTCATGTTAAATCATGATTGAAATCCACAGAAGCACAAACGGAGAGATCAGGAATCATCTGTACTAAACAGAAATGTTCAGGTAATTTAAATGACTGAAAATGTTCTCTGAGGGCTAATTTCACTTGCAGCCCCTATGGAGCTTTAGTTAGCTCCTCACTTTGGCTACAAATCAAAGGTCAACATCAACAATTTTTTGAACAGGTCAACAGAAAATCTGTTCCTAAAAGTGAGCTTTTTCCATCATTGTACACCCATGCAGTTTGCACAGGACTGTCTGCCAGCCCATGTTCTGGAGGCTCACGCAAGCACCAGGCACAAGGTTCAGAAGACCTGTCAGCAGATCCAGTGCAAGAGTGAGATTTCTTGGGATTCACCACATGATGAGCAGAGCACGAGCATTTTGGATGGTGTTAAGATGGAAATAGGACGGCTCAGCTCCTCTCTCTCTCCCTTTTTGCTTTTTTCAATCACCCATTGGCTCTGGGACCACTGCAGTGTTCAGAGGGGCATAGAGCTTTGTCCCTCACCCTCGTCTAGGGCTGCGGGTAACAAAATAGATGCAATATTTTAAATTAATGTTGTCCTTGCAATCACCCAGGTAAGCACAGTAGGAAAAATATATCTTGCTGGCTAACAAACATGCTGACTTCTACATCATTTTGGACTGATGGTGCCCTTGSTAGACACATGGGTAAAGTGAATAGCAATGAATGTCAGTTCTCTAATTAGAGCTTCACCTTTCAAAWATGGCCAGTTAAAGTTTCATAGCACTGAAACAGTGATCTGGCAAATTCAGCTCCTTTGGGAAGTTGTCATTTGGGAACCGGAAAAATATTCCCATCCGTTCTCCATATCCACTTCTTTTTACTTTTATATCTCTGTCTCCAGGAACGTCCATAATGAAAGCAAAAAAGCATTCCAGAAAAACTTGCATCCATATTCAGTGCACAAGACCAAGGAAAGAAAGCACATTTGGCCACCTTCCTTCAGAAGATGATTCTTCCCATTTTAGAAGAAAGGCTGATCATTAAGTCAATCAAATTCAATTGCTGTTAGGTTGTTCTATGGCAATAATGCTTTATAATTATATTTGAAGATGCATATCATGATGTAGGAAATRTAATGCAGATGAAACATTTCACCTTCAAAACAAAAGTGATATTTTGGTAATAACATAGTAATTTCTTCAAGTCTAAAGCAGGCACTTCATAATCTCCCATAGTTATTTTTTTATATTACTATTTTTAAAAGCAAAGCAGTTCCCATTTAATGTAACCTGCTAGAGAATCGGAGGAATATACCCTACCTTCCCTTTCCAGTCTCCCGAGTTTTGGCTGAAGCAGGATTGTAATGAGCTTAACACCGAACCAACAGTGTTGGGTTGCAACACTGGTTGTGATTGCAATGCCAGCATGCATTGCAATTGTTGCAAGTAAAATCACTTGTTCAAATTATCGCAATTTAATCTTGGGCACAGCCATTTATAAGGCTAAATGCTGATCCAGATTAGAGAACTGATATGGATTGAAGAGCTACATAAATAGGCAATTTTTATATTGGATTAGTTCTCCAGCCTGGTTCAGTGTTGTGCCATTGGCACAACTTTGGGGATTGCATTGGGATACAAGGGATACAAGTACCTCTGCTAAAAGCGTCCCCAGCCTAAGGAACAGAGGTGCATTTACTTTGGTTTCTTGTTTTTCTGCTGCTCTGTGCTCCGAGGTGGAAGATAATAAAACACAAAGTGTGCCAGGGTGCATCTCGGCCGGGTATGCAGTCTCTGGGAGGGTTACCCTGTCCCTCCCAGAAACGTGCTGAGAAGCACCAAGAAATTGTTAATTCCGAAACATTGGCCCACTCAAAAGACAACAGGCTACATATAAAACTGACAATTTCTTCTTTGAAAAAGGACCAGCTTTACTAATTAATGGAATTCTCAATAGCTGTCTTTTTTCTTTTTTTTTTTTTTTTTTTGCATATTCACAAGTAAAGCAAGCCTCTACTTTCAAAATTTAATATGCTGCAACATTGCTCCTCTCCATTTAAGGGACAGCAAAAACTGAAAAGAAAGCAACTTTCTCTTGGGAAGCCAACACTCCCCAGAGCATTTTCCCTCTCTTCTTACTTTAGCAAGCTGAAATACTCTTTTCCAGCCTTTCTCATGTCAGACACAGATCATTCATTTACTTGCACGCATCAGAGAAAAGAGAACACAATGTCCTAGAACGATTGTTCGGGAGATACCACTGCTGTTATTTTTTCATCAATACCTTTTTATCCTCAATCAAGATCTTCTTGGAAATGTTTTACATGTTGTAGTTATTTTGTTTCCTCCACTTCAGTCACTCCCAGGCAAGCGACGGTTATGAATGTACTCGCTTTAGCTTCATTCATTAGTTTGCAGCACATTTTAATCAGTGGGCTTCTTTTCAAGTTCTTGGCTTTGTTTATAGTTTAATAACACAGTTGTTCTTACAACAATTCAATTTGAAAGAAAATCTAATGCACAGCACTGAAAAAGAGCAACTTTAAGCCAAGCACAATGGCTGAAATAGCAACCTGAGTGCTTTTTTTGCCGTCTCCCAGAGAAACGTGCTGAGCTGCTGGAGAGAAATCATTAATATACCAATGATCTAACCTGGTGGCCTATGGCTCCTTTGCAGAGTATACAGGAAAMTGCATAATTTCAAACCAAAGTACAGGAATTGCACAAATCCACAGCTACTTTAGCATTATTATCACAACAACAAAAAACATGTCCATTTTCCACACCATTTGTGCCCCCGTGACTCTTTAGACTCTTCAACGAGCATTACGAAGCACACACTGGTTTATGAGATATTTTTCCCCCCAACAAGCAGTTCCCTGCACCAGGAGGTGGTACCCAGGAAAGCAGATGCTTCAAAAGAAAAACATCTCATTCAACACAAGGGGCAGAGAACATTCAGTTCTTTGCAGCACTTCAACTGAAAAGAAGCCTGTATCTTCTGCTGAGCGTCGCTTCACCGAAGCTCATGGGCTGCATTCACGAGCTCAGCTCCGACTGCAGCGCTCAGCACTCTGCATTGCCCTGTCTGAAGACACCAGTGGGGTCTTCATACCGAGTGACACCTTAAAATGTGCATTTGTTTGCAAATTTGCTTCCTGCCTTGAAGTTCATATCGCCGAAGGCAGCTTGGATTTATAGCCTGAGACTTTGTACAAGTCTCTGATACAGAGACCAGGAGGAAACTGAGCCCAAATRTTAGCCGCTTTCCTCGATTATGTTGCTTTGCTGTGGAGGGGTTTTAGGATTGCTGTGCAATCCTTTAGACTTTTTGCAAGCCAACAACAAAGTAGCATGGAGCTGACATAAATCCTGCTCTTTTATAGAGGTGGGAGACAGAACATGCACTATGGAAGAAAGGCAACTAAGCACCTTGAACATCAACTTTTAAGGATGCAAGAGAGATAACAGAAAAGAGAACAAATATTTAATACTGAGTTCAGCAAGTCCTTAGAAAAACACAGAGTAATATCCCAACATCTTCAGGGCACCTGCAGCGAAAAATCAAAGGCAGATCAGTAAAGTGTCTGACAAACAAGTCCTGTGTGGAACCACACGACAGGCCAAAGAGCAGGTGGAGAAAAACTAGTATTGAGCCCAAGATAATGAGAATTAGCAGCACTCAATTGAAAGATTCAGGGGAAACTGGGAGAGCATCCAGTGCCCTATATCATCTATACAGTTAAGGAAAAGCAGACAGGAAACTAGGCAGCAATGTATTCTCTAAGAAAAACTGGCTAACGTGCTCCTTGCCGTAAGCCAGATCCCAAGATATTAAGCAGTKATCATGCTGGACAAGGCAATATTTTTCTTATGAGGCTGTTACAAATGCATAAACCTAGCATTCATTTCAGTGATAGATTTTGGACCTTACTCTTCTTATATAGGGTGAATAATCAGCTACAGCAGCAAAGCTGGGAGTTGCAGCATGTATATACTGACAAAAATACAAGACAAAATTGCTCAAATGTGTTACATTCTATATTATTATCTACTAA